GGACTTTCTTGGCGGCCTCCCATCCAAGTCCTGGGATGTGAACAGATAGGGCTAGCCTGGTCATAATTTTCAGCGGCAAAGTGTACTTCTATGGATCGGAAGCCAGCCGAAAAAGGACAAGGAGCGAGAAAAGCTATCGCTGCTGTCCAGCCAGCGCCGGAGGATGACGCCGCCAAGCCCGCTGCAGCCTCCAAGGGGAGAGGAAGACGGCAGGAACCTTCTTCCGACTGCCCTGGCAAAGCCAAGACATCGCTCGTGAACCAAGGGAAAGGATCCGGCCACAGCGGGAAAGAAAGTGCCCCTAGGGGAAGGAAAACGTCCCTGGAGAACAGCACCCCCGGCGCCGAGAAATGTGACCGCCCGGCAGGAAAAAGTGATAATCCCCCAGGGGACGAAGGCGCTTTGCAGAAGCGGGAGCGTCACCTCCAGGCGAAGGCGTTTGAACCGGAGAAGGCAGACGTTGCCTCGGGAGCTGTTTCCCGGGAGAAGAACCGTCTCCCTGATGGGGAGAAAAAAGAAGCTCCCCATCGAGGGAAAAAAGCGTCCCAGAAGGCGCGCCCTCCCCCAGCAAAGGAGCCGCCGGAGCAAGGAAGGGCCGAAGCTGTGCCCAGAGGGCCGCCCCCTCCACAGGGCATCTCCTTGAGACAAGTGCTGGAAAGGCTCACCTTGCGCAGGGTAGAGATTTCGGATGCCTCCCAGCGGGTTAATTCAGTTAGAGACCTTTTGGTGGAAGCCATCAGAAAGAGGCTGTACTTAAGCTCTAACTCTGTTCAGATAGTAGGCACCGGCAGCTACTACGAGCACCTCAAGGTAAATGGGAGGCATCACTGGTTTTCAAACGGGGTCTAGAAGTGGGAGACGCGGTCTATATTTGTCAAGGTGAAAGAGTGGTTGCTGTGCTCTCCGATGGCGGGTGGGGTTAACTCTTTTACCGGCTACATTTTCTCGGTAGAAGCCGACCCTCTCCTAACTCTGTGGGCGATTCTGTATTGGCTTTTCCCTCCCTTGTTTTACAAAACCCACCTTGGAACAGAAATTCCTCTCTGCATTGCATGCTCCTCTCTCTTTCCTTGATCATCGGATTTTATGGTGTCCTCTAGACTATGTAGCTTTCGCTTCGTTTGATCATCGGGTATTTATGGTACCTTCTGCATAGATTTATGGCCGTTCAGGGGTGACTTTGCAGTCAGTAGGGTATTGTCCCCTGGTATCTGAATGTGGTTTTTGAGCTGCACTTTTTCCTCCCAGTTGAGAAAATGTGGAGAATGCTAGAAGCAGAATCGCCCAATATTATTAGCCCTAGTTGTGGGGAAATGACAGCCAGCCCTTTGTGTTCCTCCCGAAACTAATAACAGCTTGGGTGGGGCAAAGTGTACATATTGCAAAAACTACTTTTTTTTACTTTAAAAACTTGTCAGGAGATTGATAACTGATTGAGCCCAGCAGGGCCTTCCAGCTCTACAATTAACACCAGTAGTGTTTCATCCCAGATGCTGAGATTAAGGACTGATTCCGGCTCCTTTTGTAATTTACCTTTCCAAAGTGGTTCAGAGCTATAATTCAGTAAATATGCTTTCCATAAAACAAGCACCATTAATACAAATTAAGATAACAATTCAAAAGCAGCGGATAGGCTGGGTATCTTGTTGGTAGGATGGTGATGTTGCATGCATTTGCACCTTTCTTGGAAAGGGAGGTAGGAATGTTAGGCTGGCAACATAGGACACCCCTATTAAAAGCATTTTTGGCCTTGGCCAGAGGAAGACTAGAGTATGGGATTCTCCATTGTGATTTCCATGGGGGCCATGGCCCCTGCCAGTACTTCCCCTGATGCCCACCCAGCTTTTCTGAAAGTGGGTGGGGGCCATTGTAAGGCAGGGCAGTTATTGGCCTTCTAGGGCTGCACCCAGGCTTCTGGTTCCATTCACCTTCAGGCCTTCTTTGTATCTCTCTGCTTTCTGGGGTGGGTGGGTTTCATTTATTTTTTAAAATTCTCCTTCTGTAATTCTTTTGCAAAGCAAGAAGGAAGATATCATGTTTGGCTCAGCCTCCAGTGCTGGCCATCTTGGGTTGGTGTGGGTCCCCTCCCTCCCAGAATTCCAAAGGCGCCTTCAGGCTCAAAAAGCCTGGGGATCTCTACTATAGCATTTTGGAATCAGTAAAATATCAATTATTAACACATTTTGGATTTTAATGATTGCTTTGGGTTTCAGAGTTCTTAATAATGAATTCAGTTTTTAGTCACAAATCTGTTGCAGCTCTTAGTGTCCTAAGGAAGAATATATTTGCTCAAACACATTTTGAGGATCAGATGTGCTCACAGTCCATCTCACACACCCCTTCTGCTTCCTTCTCCGGGGCTGCTCCTCTTCTTTTGGGGAGGGAGGGGAGAGAGAAAATAAAGTTGGAATCCCATTCCAGCTTCAAGACCAACAACGTTTTATTCTTGGTATAAGCTTTTGTGTGCAAGCAATACTTCTTGGGAGGGAGGGGGTGGGTGGGTGTGTTCTTCTGACAAGCACAATGTACATTGAGGAAATTATTTTGGCTTATTATACCCCCCCTCCCGGAGAGCCTTGTGCCATACACTTTTAGATATTTTTCTGCCTTTTCTGCTCAGTTGAAGGAGTGCTCTTTTCTTATAGCTGAGTACTTGGAATCCAAAGACAGTGTTAGTGTGCATCTCTTATTAATATAGAGAGATCCCTCACTATCAGACCAACATTCGCTCTCACTGGTAAGACATTAGTTGATCCCTCTGGGTTCTGAGCAAGTAATCAAACGAACATTTAAGCACATGAAGCTGCCTTCACTGAATCAACCCCTTGGTCCATCAGAGTCGGCACTGTCTACTCAGACTGGCAGTGGCTCTCCGGGGTCTTAGGGAGGTGTCTATCACCTACCACCTGATCCGTTTACCTGGAAATGTCAGGGATTGAACCTGGGACCTTTTGCATGCCAAGTAGATGCAATACCACTGAGCTACAGGATGGTTTGTCAGCAGTCTAGTTTTTAAAAATTATTTTGTTGTAGATTTTTTTCATCCTTTTGTTAGTTAATTTGGAAGGGTGAGAAAATAACATGTTTGTCTTACAGATAACTAAACCAGATGAATTTGATATTATGCTTAAAGTG